ATGTTCTTGATATCAAGAATTATATATTTGTTTCTTATTGAAATTCAATTACTGATATCAAGAATTTGTTTTAATTATGTAATAATAATATTGATATCAACTGTTTGCATATTTTCTAGTGAAAATATAATTAAAATGATAATAATTGAAAAATGGACATTTTAATACTGAAGATGTAACTGTAAACTAATTTAAAGTGAAAATACCTTGTCATAGCCGTTTCCAGAAAATCTGCTGGACAATTAGTGAAAAAAAATTAGTGCTGCACAATAATACAAACCCCACCACGGACACCTTTAAAAGGAGATTTCGCATTCTAAGAAGACGCACTGTTTAGGAGGTGCATCATAGTTGGCAGAGTACAATTATGTCAAAAACTCAAGCTAGCTTTTTTTTATCCCTCAATTATTGGTGTCCATTAATGATTAAGTGGTATGTTAATACAGCACAGATATTCCATTAGAAGCGCTGGTCTGAGGTTTTAATGGCCTGGAAGCGCGAGCGAGTGAGCGTGTGTACTTGCAGGCTTTCAGAGTCTTTGTTTGAGGTTGCACTAAGCTGTTAGGAATGAGGACTGCATTAAATGTGATAATTAGTGGCCTGGGGAAGATATTGTCTTAAATTACTCTCCACGTCTTTCCTTTTTTGTGTTGTTCTTTTCTGGCACAGTTGAAGGAGAAAAAATTGGCATTTTGTGTGCTTTGATGTAGCTGTAAAAACAATTAGAAGACTTGAGGAGGGATAGTTGGTCCAAAAATGAAATTTACTCACTTTTACCTCACCCTCAAGTGGTTCCAAACTTTTATGAGTTGAACACTAAAGAAGATATTTTGAAGGAAGCTTGAAAACCTATGACTTCCATCGTTAAAATTAAATACAACAAGCAACCGATACATGTTTCCAGCTTTCTTCCAAATAAGTTATTTTATGTTTAACATAAGATATAAAGTCAAATAGGTTCAGAACAAGTAAAGGGTGAGTAAATGACGAAAGAATTGTCAGTTTTGGGGGAACTATCCCAGGGTTCACAAAATCCGGTAGCCCGACTTCCCAGGGCTATTGAATACTTAGTCGGACTACCAAAATCTCTCTACACCTAAAAAAAAATGTCAATGCTTTTACATTCTCTCAAAAAGTCAATCATTATGTATGTTCTGTGCTGCTGATATGACAGCAATAAATCCACTTGTTGATAATATATATAGCCAGAGCATTACCAACTACCTCACAAATAACGTAACATAGTGTTTCTGTCAGTTTAATCGTGTGTTCTATACTGAATGCTTAGCACTTAAGTACACAAACACTCGTCACTTACTCAGAGATCAGAGGCCTGTTTAAGCTATGCGAAATTAAAAATATATATCTTTATGCAATTATTCATTATTAAGATCAAGCTACAATAGTCATTCTGACTGTAACGAAAAACCGCAAGTTTTTAAACTAAGCGAGTGCGCACGTCTTCACGAAACGCATGTGCTTAAAGACAGAATACACGTTATAAGTTAATAGAGATAGAGATGATTCTCCGGACATGTTTTATTTAGTTTTTTCGCCTAATACAGTAAGTGTCACTCATTCAATAATATCAGCGCACACATTGCTAAAACAACAATTCAAGAGTTCACACTTAGATAGTGCTTGACTATTTAAGCTAGTTTGGCATGCTGTCCCGGGAGAGAACCCTGAGCTTGGTGATAGATGAGCCCAATGCTCCCGCCTGGTCAATAAGCATTAGGAGGGATATGAGATCAGGTAGTTCTCGATAGCTTAAAAAATAAATCACTATTGGCGCTAATTTGTAGTATGAGCTTGTGACTTTAACTTTTGCATAGTTTTTGAGTGTGGGAGGAAACCGGACTACCCAGGGAAAACCCACGCGAACACGGGGAGAACATGCAAACTCCGCACAGAGAGTATCGGTTGGCTCAGCTAGTGTTTGAACCAATGACCTTCATGCTGTGGGGCAACAGTGCTAGCCACCGTGTCGCCCGAACTGAGGAGGAGGGAGAAGGGAAGGATGGGGGGGGTTTTCCAAAAACGAAGATGAGGAATGAAGTTTAGGCTGGATATTTATATTGAATTTAGAGTGATCCGATTGGCTAGTTAGTGATTAGTGATAGGGATCAGCTGTAGTCAATTCTATCACGTGCTTCTCTCGAAATTAGTTTGTGAAACTTCACTTATGTTGTCTTAGACATTTTATTGCGCCCCCTTAATAAATCGCATACTTCCATACTATAGTACGCTAAAAACAGTATGCCAGCCGAGAAGTATGTCTGAATTCATAGAATTCGAGAAACAGTATGTGGATGACCAGACCTACTACTTTCGGCAAGATTCTGAAGTGTGCATTCAATGCACGTTATGCTATCCCATGATTCATCATGAGACAATTAATGAATGGGAGTGAAGTGACGCAACTGTTGTGGGTAGGTCACGTGATCATGACAAAATGGTGGATGTAATACGTCCAAGTTCAATTCATACTACTCATTCATACTGTATAGAACGTAGTTTCACATTCAAATACAGTACCTTCTGAGTAGTAAGCGATTTCAGACGCAGCCAGTGTGTTTATCTGTGGAAGATTCTCAAAATTTTGCATGTGGTTTCTCTAGTTGAGTTGAAATGGCCTTCATTTTTTTTTTTATTTGTATCAGAATTCTATCCGCCAGCTCTCTAGATATATTGGTCATACAAGAATATTATAACAAGATGTATGTGAGTTAAATTAATATATACTGTACATACATTATGTGCATGTGAATTGAATTTGGAGATTTATAGATGGACTTTATAGAGCATCTTTCTTAATCATTGATTATTTTACTACACTTTTACAAGACAATAGTCTATAAAATGCTGAGGTTAAAAGCTTCTGCACAGCGATTAACTGAGCAGAAGCAAAGTTCCTCTGTGCAAAGACTCTGGCAGTGTTACTGAAATCCCTGGAAATGTCTTGTGAAAAAAAGAGCGAGTAGGGACTCTGAAAGGCCAGTATAAAGGGTGCATGATCCCTTTTCACAGCACAATTGAAACATAATTATTTCATGGCAGACTGTGTGCTCTGTAAATCTATGAATGGGAACGGCATTTAACTTTAATTAGCTCTGATTTATTCATTCTGACTGGATTGCTTGCAGAAAATTGGATCATCTGATTATAGTCAAGCATGAAAATGACCTGATTAAACACTTCATAAAACCCACGGAGAGAGAAAGAAACGGAGAAAGAAAAGAAACCTGGGATGAAACAATAAAGGGGGCACAGAGAGGAAGATAGACAGACAGATGTGGATGGGTTTGGTGACGTCGGGCATGCCAGCGTTATGCACAGTGGGCAGGGAAGGCATCGCAGCTGTTTTCTGTTCACCCTGCTGCAAACTAATGGATGGATTGGCAAACCAATCCCACGCTATAGGTTACATGTCTACAGCTGTGCCAAACCGCATGTGCATTTGATTTGAAACGCTTGCATGCACCTGAGCAAAAAGAAACCTGTGGTGCATTCAGGATTCTTTGGTGCGGATGAAATCCACTCTATACATTGCACATAAACCACACTAGATTGTTTTCTGTTGTGTTTTGCAAGGTTAGGGTGCACAAATTAATGGAAATAATTTAATATATTAGAAACTGTAACATAATAAAATGGAAACGGTAATATAAAACAATGGAAACGGTGATGACAAATGTAAGACAAATGTTTGGTTCCCGAAAGAACCTTTTCGATTATTTTATGTTCATGATTTTTGTTGTAATGTTGTCTAAAAAAAATGAAAGAGTTAAGCTTTCAAGTAAGTTGGCGGTTCATTTCACTGTGGCGACCCCTGATTAAAAAAGGGACTAAGCCAAAAAGAAAATGAATGAATGAATTAGGGTTGGGCGATGTTGACCTACTTCACATCGTACGATGTCTAAAGGCTGATTTACCAGTGTAGGCAGGGTCGAGAGCTGCGCGAACCCATTGGAGCGAGTGTTTATAAGTGTCGAGTCCCGTGAAGGAGCTCCAGATGGAAAGTTTTGTTTTATGCCTTACATTTTTATTTATTGCCTAACATTTAAGCCTTTGACATATTAATTCATACTGATTACTTTATCAAACAATATTTGTTTTTAACATGCACTCGCTGCATTTAAAAGTAGGCACTTCAAGCTTTCTATAGATACATGTCACTTGTCCGTGTGTTTTGTTTTCATGGAGTTTCAGTGCATTTTACTGACACGTTTCTAAAAACAGTTCGAGAAAAGAGAGAATGCTTACACTGTTTATGTTCCTTATTTTGCAAAAGCACACACGTTTGTTGTCATTATGAGTGAACACAATAAAAACTATACACCTAACAGATTCGATTGATGTATTGATCTTATCTGTAAGATCAAAACTAAGTGTAATTTAAGTTCATTTCAGCGGTATAAGGAGAAGACGCATCAAAACGTGCATACACAATCTTCCGTCCCTGGGGGTTAAAGACAACACAGATTCAATTATTAATGTAGTTGAGAAAGCTTTATGAAGGTTCAATATAAAATTTAGAAGAGACTGTTGCCCCTTATTAGACAATTTCTGACTGGTCTGATATGGATATCTTTATATTTATTACATTGAAACAGTTGACTTTATTCTTATCAGTCCTAGTGTGACTGTTCCTTTACAATTTGGCAAATTTTATTTATTTTAGGATTTAAAATCCTAAACTCTGTATGTGGTGTAAATGTAATTAACCTTTGACCACTAGCTTCATTAAAAAAAAAAAAACATCTAAACTGAATTTGACTTTCAGATTAAAAAATTAACTAATTCATTCATTCATTTTCCTTTAGCTAAGTCCCTTATTGATCAGGGGTCGCCAGAGCAGAATGAACCACCAATTAATCCAGCATATGTCCAGCTGCACCTTGTACTGGGAAAAATAGTAACTAATTAAAACTGTAAATGTATAAAATAAATGTAGATCCATATTTTAAACTCTTGTCATGTCTCTCTTTACTCTCTAGTTACGCCAACGAATGAGAGTCTCGGGACCAAAACTTCCAGCTCGACCAAAGTGTCTGGCCTTCAGCGTAGCCAGGAACAGAGTAACGACGTTTCGTTTGTCCCGCCCATCTCCAGCCCGACTCCTGCGTCGCCCCCTACGGGGTCTCCTGCCCCTGCTGCGGCGGCAGCCCCCCCGCCTAGACCCCATCCGACCTCCCCAAGCCCTCTCTCTATCAAGAAGGAGTCTTTGCCCCCTATTCCCACTCCTCCCCTGCTGAGGAACCTATCGCATTCACTGGAGCACAGACTTCCGCCCCCATTGCACCACAGCCGGCCAATCAGCAGTCATCATCATCATCCTTTGCCATACAGCAGTCTTCACGACATCAGGTTAGTAACTATTCATATCTATAATCATTAAGGCTGTGTATGATCAATTGTGAAAATACTAATTCTGGTTTGTTTCGGTAATCTTCAATCAAAGTCTGACCATTTGATTACGTGTTTTGGACTGGTGTTCCTTCTCTATTGCTGTCAGTTTGACAGTGTTCTTAACCACACTTCTCGTACCACTAGTTTGCTATTATGCTATTATGTAAGGATATAAGGTATTATGTATTATATATTGCTATTATGAAAGGAAATTATGCACAAAAAGAAAGCCCCACCCTTTATTCGTGAATTCCGTTTCAGTTGGACGTACATCAACATACTGAAATAAAAGTCTCACTAACATCTAGTCATGAAGACAAACAATTGAGCCCATGCCATTGCTTAATTCTTTTACTTACACTTTGAGCAACAAACATTGCAACAAAATAAATATATGCATTTAGTGCACAAAAAAGAATAAACTACGCAATGATCACTGATTATTGTAATATTTTATTGTTTTAAGTCACGCCGCACCTGGTGTAGACACCATATTAGTTCTTGTGAGCACAACTTGCAAACGGTTTTGTTGACCTCATGCTACCAGGATTATTGACATCATATGAAATAAAGCAAGAACTTTAAGAATCAGTATAGTTTTTTTAGATTACCCAATCTTAATTATTATATTTACATTTATGAAATAATAACTGAATGTAAAGTATAATCTTATAACTACATTTTGTCGTTTGTAACAAAATCTTGTTTTTTCTTTGTAACCACAGCGCCAACCCTTCAACTCTTCCTCCTAAACACCACCTGCCTCACTCCGCTCATCACCTCAGTGGTCATCTATCATCTCCTGCTCCTCCTCTTCCTCTCTCCATCACCGGACTGCCCTCCTCCCACTACTCCCTTCACTCGCCTTCTCACCTCTCTAGCCATCCGGCCATGTTTGCCACCCCTGCTACACTGCCTCCTCCGCCCACCCTACCGACCAACAGCCTGGTGGTGCCAGGACACCCTGCAGGACCACCTTATCCAGGTAAAAAAAGTACTACTTAGATTTTTGTAAATTTATGCTGTAATTAGAGTGAGTTTACAGGCTTTAGTTGTGCAATAATACAAAATATTAAAGGGCGCATACACACTAGGCATTTGAGGAAAGATTCTGCACATAAGTTGAATCCAATTAGGATGATGGCTTCCAAGGAAATGCAAATGTTTTCTGAGGTGACTTTCTCCTCAATGTACCTTGACATTAGCACTTTTTGACGAATAAGATTGGAGCATCCACTTTTTATTTGGCTTTTGACCTGCAAAAAGCGTAATGCATTTCTGTCTCTCAAATGCTTCATTGCAGTTGTATTTAGTGTGTAAGTGCTCTATTTTTTTATGAGACCTAAGAAATAAACAGTGTGAAATTAATTTATCCAGTATTGATGTCTTAAGTTAGCATATTGTAGCATTAGTCTCTAAATTAAAACAAATTTTGTTCCCACAAATCTAGGAATTGTTCCTACAGTTACCATATTTATAAATGCTTTGAGTTGACAAGTAACCCCAGTTAAAGACAGATATACAGAAAAATTATGCAGTAACAGCAGATAATTGCATTCTTATTAAGATTTTTCAACTCTAAGGCAAGATTGGGCCCACATCATAGGCTCAGCGCATGAAAAATATGACATATCTTCAGTATATTATACCTGTAATCAAGAAAAATGTCAATTAGAGATGCTCATTTTGGTTTATTTTGCCAACCGATAACCGCCACTCTTTAAACAAATATCATTTTGACGTAAATTGACATGTCAATTTTGTGTCTGACGCATCAAATATTGCAATTTAAAATACTGATTTATTTTAACATGTGAACAACAGCATACGGAACATCAAAACAATACATCAAGCACCTGCAGTGTTTCCAACAGCATAGAAAAAACTAAATAAAAAGGCCAGCCCCTAGATATTTTTCACTCAAATGATAAGTTTAGATTACTAAACAAAAACACTGGCTGTATCCTTTTTAAGGACCGGCATATGCTTTTTTTTGTCCAATCATATGTACGAACACAGCGCACAACGGCAAAAACGCTTGCGGTGGTTAGTAAACCGTTCAAAAGATGCCCCTCTCATCGCAAAAGCGTGTTTGCTGTGATCGGCCCCTTATGCAGCCAAACCTTTTAAATATTGATAATAATATTTATTAATCATTTAACTGATAGCATTATATGGTTAAAAACGCACCCTTTTGGTTAATGGTCAATCTGTTATTACGAGCATTTCTAGTGTCAACTACCATGTCCACTTCTTATTATCTAAAAGCTGTGTCTCAGAAGGGCACGGTGGCAGTAAATTTTTGTCTTATTGGCTGTTATTTTACTTCAGATTTTTAAATCCGATTACACCAGGGGTGCGTTTCCTAAACAACGACGTAACTCGTGGCTGAACTGACATAGTACGATGCATCATTTGGGAAAAGAACTATGTAGTGACGAGTGTTTCCCAAAACCTGTAGTTTCTCTGTTGCAGATTCATCACTTGAACCACGTTGTTGATAATGTAAAACACCCATAATCATGCTTTAAACGGAGAGTAAACAACTTCTTTGGAGAAGAACCCCATAATTTCTTTGTGCAAATTACATTATTTTACACAAATGCGCATTTTTTTGCTAAAACATGCACTTGTTTGTCATATTAATTAAAATATTTGTAAATGGGACATATAGGGCCTGTGTTTCCTTTACAAATATTATTGAAAATATTACATCCTATTTTAAAACATAAAATCACTTACAAAAGCTAACACGTATTCTAATATAATATGAAGAGTTCAGATGCTAAAGTGCCATCTGAAATGTTCTTCTAATATAACCATTTTTCTCAGGCTCCTATGTCTTGATTCAGTAATTTTACCTTTATGGCAAAGAACAGGATATTTTAATCAATTTTAACATAAAATAACTAAACATAAACATAAGAGACTAAGAAAAATGCTTATTGTAGAAAAAAAAATTTAGATGGCACTTAGAGGTTTTTGCATCTGAACACTTCATATATAAATCATATAAATAAATAAATAAATAAATAAATAAATAAATAAATAAATAAATAATAAGGCTAATTATTAAGAAATTAAATTTTATAATTATTAGGAAATGAAAACAATCATACTTCATTAATAATATTAATAATATTGATGATGATTATTATTAATAAGTAGGATATTGTTTATTTTCTAAAAAAAAATAATAAATTTAAGTCTACTTTTATTATTTGACACATGCAAACCACTGCAGAAATGTTCTAACCAACTGACCGATGTCATATACAGTAGGCTACATTTATTAATAAATAACCTACTACAAAATAAAAGAATTAACGGATGTGCTATGTTTTTTTGTTTTTTTTTCACAATCTTTGAAGCAATGACTCTAAAAAAAAAAAATACTAGCTTTGGCGACGTAACATAAATTCCGCTCAGCTGTGTTCAGAATGACATAAATGTTTTCAAAGTGCACTGCGAAGGGAGCGCAATTGTAAACATGAAGATCTCTAAAACTGAACTGTAAAAATACTTTGAAAGCAAATTACACCCAAGAGTAATGATTTTAATGCTTTTTTTTTATTATTCCAAGTTTAAATGTTAGAATGTTCTAAATAAATAGGGCATAGGGGAATAACTGGACATAGAACACAGCCAGGAACTATGTTTTTAACTAAAGCTCCAAAGGTGTAGTTGCAAGTGCACAAGTTTGCGACGCAGTTTGCAAATGTTCATTGAAACAACAGATTTGGGAAACGCCAAATCAATGAACTATGTTTGTTTCAATGGAAATTAGTGGAAATGCACTCTAGTATGAAACTAAATGATATATTTAAGATAAAACTGCCCTCTTCATCTCCTTGCTTCATACGGTAAGTGTATTTTTGTTAATTACTAGCTTTTAAATGCCAATTATAGAAATATACGGCTACATGCTAATTTAAACCTAGAAAGGAAATAATAAAGCAACAGTAAAGTGTTTATACAATACCTGCAGTTAATCTCAATATTGTGTCATGTAGCTTCCATTGTAAAAGAAGGCTAAAGTCATAGAATTAGCACTAACATCTTAGCAATAATGTTATAAGTTTGTTCTTAAATTCAACATTGTTATATTGTAATGAAGCAAAGTACACATTGATGTCTTTTAAAAGCATCAAGAGCTTAGAAATCCTTAACTTTCAAAAAAAAAGGCCTTAAAGGAATAGTTCACCCATCAGTGAAAATTTTGTGTGAAAATCTTTATGCATTTGTTTCTTCTGTGGAACTCAAAAACATGATTATTACTTTTTAAAATATTGATTATTGATTATGATTATTATCAAAGTCCTTTTGAAGCCAAACATAGAAGAAAGAAGAATTCATACAGATTTGGAATGACATGAGGGTGATTTTCACTTTGGGGTGAACTATCCCTTTAAGGCGGTGTAGACGTTTGTGTATGTCGGGTCAAGTGTGTGTGTGTTTTCTGCTGAGGTGACTCTTGGTTCTTTCTTGTCTTTAGATACCAGCCTGTTGATATCTTTCAACCAACCAATCATGTATTGCCAGCCTCATTCGGGGATTCTGATTGGCACATTGTCACAGGCAACTCTCTTACCTCCACCAATGAGTCCTCACGTAGAAAACCCTCACACCTTGAATTGGAGAAACAGAGAAAGCCAGGTGACTACCCTCTTTCGCTTCTTCCAACCACTGTTGTGAAAACTCACTGGCCGCCCGTGCCTTTTTTTTCTTTTCCCTCCCGTGTCTTCCCCCTCTCCCCCTTTCCCTCCTTTTCCCCCTTCACTCTCCTATCTTGCAGAGCATGATCTTCTGAGGCAGGAGCTGAACAACCGCTTCCTGGTTCAGAGCTCGGAGCGAGGCCGGGGGACGGCGCCAGGGGCCACAGGGTCGCCGTTGGCCCCTGTGTCGCTCCTCCGGGCCGAATTTCACCAACATCAGCATATGCACCAGCACCAACACACGCATCAGCACACCTTCACGCCTTTCCCTGCCAGTCTGCCCCCGGCAGCCATCATTGGGCCGCCCACTGCACCTCCCATGGTGCGTACCCCAGCCAGAAATGTGAGGATAAGTAAAAACAGATAGATTTTACTCCCTTCCTACCTCCCTGATCCCCCCTTAAAAAACACCAACCTATTTAAAACAAGCGGCCATCGCATTCTTCAAACAATATCGCACTCACAATTGCGTTGACATACTGATTTTCAGCATGGCTGCATCATTCTGATGTTCAGACAGATTTTAATTTTAAAAATAGGATCATCTGTCGTTTGGTCTGTTGTTGTTCCATTGGCGAAGATAGTTCCAAACGAAGAGAACAAGCAGACTGGCAGCCAATCAAAAAAAACTGTTGTAGTGTATAGTGACACCAACAAATCACAACAGACCTCTAGAATGAACTATTGCATTATAAATTCTGATTAATTTACACCATTTAATTGAAACATTGAATTTCAGTTAGCTGTTAACATTATAACATCGAAACATCTCTATCATTCTTCCTTTCTTCTCAGATGGGATGGAGGGCAAAATCAAAGGTTACCTTGGGCCAACTTTGGCCCTCGGGCCCTAGTTTGGGCATCACTGAACTTGAGTTTAGTGATATAGTGTAGATTATAGTGATACCAACCCATCACAACAGACCTAAAAATAACTAATGCATAACATGTATCTGCATGGCTGCATTTACACTGCATGCTTAAAGTGACTCAACTCCAATTTTTTTTCTTTCATGTGGCACAGAACGGATATGTCTCATGTACCTGTAAGCAGAAAAAAAAAATCACATGGATTTCGATTTACTCAAATCAGATTTAGGTCTTGTTCATAGGTGGAAATTTATCCGATATAAATCAATGCAAGTTACGCGTCATTAAAAACCATAGCGAATGATGTCAAGTCTGAGTCCCAAACCTTAAATCTCATACACGGCAACTACAAAAGCTTATATATTGTCATGTAGCACAGGTTTTTAAGCTTTTTAGCAACGTCCACCACATAAACAACTGGCTAAACTAAAACTGCTGCATACATCATGTGCAAAAATCACGACCAGGACATTACATTAAAAACCCTACTGGTTTAAAAACGATTAAAAGAATATGGCCAAATGAGAACTTTTGTGTCATAAACTATAGTAAAACAACTTGACATAAAAATAATTTAATAAAATGAAACCTTGTGAACCGATTAAATACAAAAACGGAGAAGAGGGCGCTCTTATTATTAGCTGTCAGTTAACGCCCGCTCTTTGTTTCCTGCTCATTGCGCCTTTGCCGTCTGCTGTGAGTCACTTTTAAATAAGAGTCACTTTTAAAAGACGGATATGAGTCACTTTTAAAAGATGATGTAAGCTGGTCAACAACAAAAAAATCGAATATAGTCACAAAATCGGAACTAACTATCAAGATCTGCTGTGCGAATGCAGTCTAATACTTACTTATTACTTATTTACAACACACGTCTGAGGCTTAAACGAAGGCCAAATTTGAAACCATTTTATAACACCATCTCAGTGACCTAACCTAAACATTGGGATTCACAAAGTTGTTGACGTAGTGAATACCAGCATGGTCGTAATAGCACAATATTTTAGACACAATACCCTCATTTATTTCATCTATCGTTGCGCTTTAAATGAAAATAGATCTAAACCGAGCCAAAACAGTTCTGTATAGCCTGTCTGGAATGTATACAAGTAGATTGATAAAACATGGGACCACATTCTTTCCTAATAGTCATAATAGAGCACTGACTGTTGTGTAGTAACAGTGTTTACAACCCACTATTGAGGCTTAAATCAGAGCATATCTTAAACCAAGGCCTTGGGGTTGAAATAGTTTTACAGCACCATCAATATGACACCTGCAACTGTGTTGACGTACTGAATAATGGCGCATGCTAAAATTTTGACTAACACCACAAATAACTTCTATTTAAGTCACAACATCGTCAGTTATTTTTGCTACGTTAACAAATTGTAACAAATGAAGCCAAAATAGTTTCTGTTTGGAGCATTGCAAATACCGACAAGTGACACAAACTGTGAAACTGCTATACTGTCATTCCTACACCATCGGTACTAACTAGCATTTGTATAAATAGGAATAGTATTTACATCCCACTTCTGAGGCATAAACCAGAGGCTAGTTGCATAAATGCGAAGACTCTGTTGTAGAGCTAGTTTGACCAACTAACTGTAATCACTCTTGCTACTTGGATTCAAATTAGGTCAACATTTTGAGGCCGATTCCGAAAAGTAATGGCTAGTCTTAAAAAAAAAAAAATAAATAGTCACTACTTTAAGACTAAATGCAACCAGCTACATGCAGATGTTTGGTGTATGGGAGAGAGAATATGGGTTTAAAACTAATTTACAACACAGTCATTCTGATATCCCTACTAAAAAGTATGGCCAATTATTGAATCCATTGTTGAGGAAAATAGGCCTTAATGGAACCAAGTGTGAAGCAAAAAAGGAGCTAGTTCAATCCTAACCGAGCACCGGAACTAACAGTTGTATAATAAGTAATAGAGTTTACAACCCACTACTGCGGCTTAAAGCTTATCTCAAAGCTGGCCAGATCTTAAACAGTGGCTACGTGGTTGAAGCAGTTTTACAACCCATTGTCGGTGACATAACCGATACCCATCATCCTAACAAGATAAACTATTGTCCCATGACGACCACAAATATTGTAGCTCTTCCCCTAATAAAAACCCTTTTTGCTGCCATGTTGACATGCCGAACTCATTGCGCTTTTATAGTGTGAGCCAGAGATGTTTTATTGCTTTCATATGAGCAGGATGGTGATGTTTCTGAGTGCTGGGGGCTGTTTGAGGAAAACAGGAGGCAGACAGAGTCTTATGGCGTGACTGAGGCACAGACAGAGCTCGTTCTGTGTGACACATTCAAAGCTTGCGGTCGAAACATAATGACCTCACTACAGATGAAAGTCATGACATCAACGGGCTGTTTTGATAAAGCCTAATTGCTTCCGCGTGCAGAGCGGCTATTAGAGGCAAACTTTGGCAAGCCTGCGATCAGATCAGTTCAGCTCCTCAAAGTTAGCCAGCCATATGAAATACATTCAAACGTAGTCAGACAGGAACGAGAACGTCTTATCGGCATACGATCGCCACTGTCCAACTATACGAGAGATATTATGTCAGAGCACAAGATGAAGTCAAGCGTTTCTGAATCGCAGATTTCCATCTCCAGAGATTCAAATCCGCCTGCATATTAGCTTAAAACATGCCGTATGTTGTTGTAGCTTGCATTCTGGAACTGTTTCGTCATCAGGAAACACTGAAATGGCCATGAATATGTCGGTTATCTTGTGTGTTGAATGACAAACACACACCACCACAACTTCCTTGAATGTTTTATGAAATATAATCTATATTTGCTAACCTGCTATTGTTGAATTTCTTGCAAACACCATGTAATGTTTTCTACTGACATACAGTATATATGCTGATGCTTGATCTTTTTAAAGCATTTCTACATTATATTACTTGGGTCAATGTTTTTAAAGCCAACGTGAAATCAAAAACTGCCCATTTTACTATGTTTATACATATTCTTGGTCACGTTGTGCATCATTTATTGACTTATGCCATTTCAAAGTTAATTTTGTTACGTTTCCAAACAAGTCAAGAAGTAAAATGGGTAGCAAATGCTGTTTCACGTTGACTCGAAGGGTCACACACTTCGTATAATGTCTTTCTTGTTGTCTTTCTTCCCTTCCTCCTAGCTTTTTCTTCTATAAAAGTTGAATTGTTTACAGATGTAATGCTGAGCCTTGATTCGCCAAAGCTGTTTGTTATAAAGCTCTGACAGGGGCTGTGAATTATGAAGCACTGTTTTTTTATGAGCCACTATAAACCTTTGCTGTATTTACTCGGCAAGTGTTAACCATAAAGCAGGCGTGCGGCCCTCGCAAGGATCACAGAAGTGCAACGCTCAGGGAAGCCAGATCAGCGATTTTCTCAGCCAGGGCAACCTCATGTGTTTGATTTAAGCTAATTATCACCACACATTCATACCATGCCGGATAAAAGCAGCTTATGCCTGCTGATCTGTTGGAGTGTAAACCCTCTGCCATAAGTGGGATGTGTGGTTCAAGCAATTGCTGCCTTTTAAAGAAACGCACACACTTAGTGCATCCTAAGTTTATCCATTTTTATTTCCATCACCTGAGATATAAGACTATTGCTGAGTCCCACTTGGCACACTATACACTTGTACTTATGCACACTCAACAGCATAGTATATGAATGTAGTGCCGTGCCAAATGGAATACTACATTTATTTTTTACTAAGCAGAAATTTGAACCATTTCCCAGATGACCTTTGCCAAATAAATAATCAAACTACCAAATAATGCTTGCCATGAGTATACCCACATTCACCATCTGGAAGTGGCATAGGTCACTCTCATAGGAGAATTTTGCTTTCACAATCCAAAAGTAAAGAAACCCAAGATCACTGCCCAAAAGCTCAGCCCTTTCTGCTACGTGAGCAAAGCTGCGTTGAGTGTGTGAAGTGTCCAACATTCCAAACTTCTTTTTTACAGGTTGAATAAGGGCATCGTCCGGGTATTTGAAGTGCACTTATTCTTTTTAAAGATTTCAGTGTGAATGCACTACTTACACCAGGGGTGTTCAAACTCTGTCCTGGAAGGCCAGTGTCCTGCATAATTTAGCTCCAACTTTCTTCAACACACCTCCCTGGAAGTTTCTACTATACCTAGAAAGAGCTTTATTAGCTGGTTCAGGTCTGTTTGATTGGGGTTGGAACTAAAATATGCAGGACATCGGCCATCCAGGACTGAGTTTGGACACCCCTGACTTACACCATTTATACTACAAAATGGCATAAAATAGTGCCTAAGTATGCGATTTGGGACGCACTCATTATGTCAAAACTACTACAGCAGGTTTTACTCATTTACATATTTAGCATTATTTATATATTTTGTTTATTTAAGGTGACAAAGATGCTGTTTTTTTTTTAACTTAATGGTAAAATTGTAAGTAATATGTTTATCTATCAGAATAATAAGGTTCTGATTGCATTCTGAGTGGGTTTTGGTCCAAATAGCAAGGGTTTTTTTAATAAATGCATCACATTATATAAATAAGTTGTCAGAGAATAAGAATATGTAAAGAAATATAATACAGAACTTAATCATTTCAAGGTAACAATATTTATGTGAAAAATATACATATCTATTGGACTTATAGACCAAATTTCCAGTATTTTAAGGTTTTGTTTACATTCTGAGTGGGTTTTTATCCATGTAGCAAAAGGGTATTTTAATGAACGTATCAGTTGTCAGAGAATAGGAATATGTAAATAAATGTAATGCAGAACTTCATCATTTTAAGGTGACAATATTTATGTAAAAAATATACATATCTGTTGCACTTATGAACCATATTTCTAGAACTAAAAGGTTCTGTTTGCATTCCGGGTGGGTTTTGGTCCACATACTTAGCAAAAGGTTATATATATATATATATATATATATATATATTTATAATATTTATATATAATATTTATATATATATATAATTTTTTGTATTAAGGGTATTTTAATAAATATAAGTTGTCAGAGAATAAGAGTATGTAATGAAATATAATACAGAACTTTTAATTTGAAGGTGACAATATTTATGTGAAAAATATACATATATATTGGACTCATGGACCATATTTTCTAGTTTTATTTATTGATATTGCTTAATGAAATCCTTAAGCCTTATGGCAATGTTACCCCCCAAAAAAATGTTGTCATTAATTATTCATTGTCATATCGTTCCAATCCCTTGAGACCTTCTTCATTACACAAATCAAGATATTTTAGGTGAAATCAGAGCGCTATCTCATCCTCCATGGACAGCAAGTTTCTTGACTCATTCAAAGTCCGGAAAGGTGCAAAAACCCTTCCTCAAAACAGACCATATGCCTTCAGTGGGATTATTATCAAGCCGAATACTTTTACGTGCACATAAACAAAAATACCAACTTTATTTAAGTTTTTTCTTCTCAGTGTCAGCATGTTGTGAGCGTTCACAAGCACTGTATAGTGACCATTGAAGACATATGGCATATGTTTTTTGGTATTTTTCTGAACTTTGAATGAGTCTGTAACCTTGCTGTATATGTACAATGAGGGAGCTTTCAGATTTAAATATCTTCATTTGTGTCCTGAAGATAAATAAAGGTCTCAGAGGTTTGAAACAAGGGTAAACAATTAACAACTATTAAAATTGTGGCCTGAACTAACGCTTTATAGGTGAAAAGCATATTTGAATTTCTAATTCATTTCATGTTTCTTCCCTTCCAAATGCAAAATCTCCCCACATTCACAAGCTAACCCTCATTTCTCACCCTATAGTTACACTGCTAATTGTAGTTTAACTGAAACTTGAGTTTTATATATTTCTCAACTGTAAAGGAATGACTGCGCCACATAATAAATGGCTCATGTCACTTAAATTGGAAGTGAAGGGTGCCTTTCATTTGTTTAGCGATCTGGTTTGACTCTTTTGTGAGCGTATTCCCACACTCCGTGCCGGCTCTGTGAAGCCTGTGCCATCTGCGGCTGCAGTGGTTTTCTTTCATGTGACATTGAATGGCTGTTTTACTGTGTAATTGTTTTATTAAAAGGGTGTAATTTATTTGAGCTTCATCTGCTTTTTATTTGACTGTGTAAGCACACTGCAGCAAAGCCCTCTCATGTTTTTGCTCACAGATGCCTTTGATTTTGTTGATATGTTTTTAATTTGCGCTCTTTCTCTCTTTGTGTTTCTCTTTATAGTTCGACAAATACGCCCCGAAGCTGGACAATCCGTTCTTGAGACATTCAAATGTAAGTGTCGACTTATTTTGACTGCGTAATCTTGTTTTGACTGAATATGAAATGGATTATGTCAAGTTTTAGAGACATATTTGTAAACTTCTTGCATGTTTTTAAGACTTGGTTTGATGTTGTTTGCAAAGCAAGATAGACAAGCTGTAGGTCAAAGAGATGACAAACGTCAGCAAGCTTTACATTCATTTTGTTTTGTTTTTTCTTTAGTTTTTTCCCTCCTACCCGCCAACAATGCCAGGAATGCCTCCGTTGCTTCCACATTCAGGGCCCTTCAGTTCACTGCAAGGTGCCTTCCAGCCAAAGGTTAGACTCTCTTCATTTACATCATGTGAAAACGTAGACAAAACTGTTGTGACTTGAGCTAAATAAGAAACCCAGTGGGCACACAATGTTCATATGACGTTGATCTTTAGTTCTATTTTTGGTTGCGCCATCAGGTGACCAAAATTTAATGTCAATTTGACATCAGCTGACATCTAGTACCAACGTCAGCAGGTGTTGATTATTGGTTAGCTTTAGGTTGTGGCTTTAATTAACTAAACTACAATGTAATTTTAACGTCATGGTATGTCATCCATACAATGTTAAGGTCTTACATCAGCAGACATTTATCTTTGGTTGGTTTTATGTTGTGTAATTACCTACACTGACATGGTGTTTTGACGTTAACCCAATTTTCATATACAACCAAAATTCAAAGTTAGTCTGACGTTGGAGTTCAGCATCAATTTTACCTCTATGTGACATCCGTTGCCTGCAGGGAAGAGACTGTGGTTAGTTTGAATGTTTTAAATTTCCTACATGTGGGCTCTAATATGGGCAAGATTAATATGTCAACCAAACAAAACTTAAATATGGCATGTAAAATATCTCCAAGTTGGTATCATGACCATATATATAAACTGCTGTATCTATAGTTTTTTAGTCTTCATTAATTTTCAGTTATGCAATTTAACGTTAAAGGGATAGTTCACCCAAATCTGAAATTCGGTCATCATTTATTCTCCATTTACTTGTTCAAAATTACTTTCTTTCTTCTGAACACAAAAGAGAAGATATTTTGAAGTAAAAAAAAAAAATGCTGAAAACCTGCAATTACTGACTTCCAAATTCTTTGTTTTTTTCTATTATGGATGTCAATGGTTACAGATTTTCATCTTCCTTCAAAACATCTTATTTTTTGTTCATTTTGCAACTCCTCTAGAGTTAAATAGTTGAGTTTAAACATTTTTTAATCCATTCAGCTGATTTGCAGGCACTGTTATTATTATGTTAAAAGGTTATATTATAGTTCCAAGCCATATCAGCTTAAAAAAATATCATTTTCTACCTGTATAAGTACACAATGTAGCTGCAGTCAAGCTTTAGGTAGGAAAATGATCAAAACACCAGTGATTTTTTTTTTTTTTTTTTTTTTTTTTTTTTTTTTGGCACCAATAGCCTAGAGGTAAAGTGTGCTGACACACACTTACCGGCCACATTTTTTGGTACACCTGTCCAACTGCTCGTTAACAAAATATGCCAATAACATGGCAGCAACTCAATGCATTTAGGTATGTAGACATGGTCAGTACGATCTGCTGCAGTTCAAACTGAGCATCAGAATGGGGAAGAAAGGTGATTTAAGTGACTTTGAATGTGGCAAGGTTGTTGGTGCCAGAAGAGCCGGTCTGACTATTCCAGAAATATATTTCAGAGTGCAAATGCCTTGTTGATGCCAGGGGTCAGAGGAGGTCAGAGGAGAATGGCCAGACTGATTTGAGCTGATAGAAAGGCAACATTAGCTCAAATAATCACTTGTTACAACCGAGGTATGCAGAAGAGCATCTCTGAATGCACAACACGTCGAACCTTAAGTCAGATGGGCTACAGCAGCAGAAGACCACACCGGATGCCAATTCTGACAGCTTAGAAAAATAAACTAAGGCTACAATTTGCACAGGCTCACTAAAATTCGACAATAATAGATGGAAAAACGTTGCCTGGATTGAGTCTCTATTTCTGCTGCGACATTCGGATGGCAGGGTCAGAATTTGGCGTCAACAACAAGAAAACATGGATCCATCCTGTTCTCAAATGGCCTCCACAATTACCAGATCTTAATCTATTACAGTTTATTTGGTATGTGGTGGAACTAGAGATTCATGAAAGGGCTGCCGACAAATCTTTCTGACGTTATCATGTCAATATGGACCAAAATCTGTGAGAAATATTTCTAGTATCTTGTTGAAACTTTGCCTTGAAGGATTAAGTCAGTTCTGGAGCCAAACACTAAGGTGTACCTAATTAAGTGGCCGGTGAGTGTATAGTTCTTAAGCATATCAGCTTTTCCATCTGTCTTAGTACACAATATAACTACTTGAGATCCAAGCTTTAAATAGGAAAATTATCAAAAGTCTGCATATTTTTGAGCGAGATGCTAATGGTTTGATCTGATTCAACAATCTATGCTAAGATAAGCTAAAAGTGCTCCTGTCTGACTCAAAAATCAGCTGATTAAATTAAGAAAAATTGCTAAACTCAACTGTTTAGGAGAGTTGTAAAATTAGTCTTTTTTTAAAGCTGTTCATCCTACAACACGTATAGGATTTAAATTGGGACAGATTTAACATCTCTAAATTAGCTAAAAAAATAAACGTGCCAAAAAAGAAAACATGGCAAGTAACAAATGATCAATTAAAAGTGAACTCCTACACTCCATTAAGGTATTAAAAAGATTGCCAATGTATCTCTGGTATCATTAACATTACATACTCTGCTTTTTGCACCAGGCAGAAATTGGCATGACTGAGAGCCCAGCTTCACCCTACCATTAGTATTCAGGGTGCTCTCAAATCTCGCACAGCTACATTTATACTGCAGACAGAGAAATCTACCACTGCCACTTTCTCCACTAATGGATTATGCAAAGAGGCACAGGCTCAGTAACCTGCTGGAGGCTTTTGTGTTAACTTTAGACTTAGCGATGTGGTCTTGAGCAGAGTGGTTAGCGTGTGTCTCTGCAGTGAATAGGTTACATATCTTTCACTCATTTGGTTTGTAATGGTTTTTACCTGCCACATTTTTTTTAAATAATTCATTATTGTGATATTTACAAGTCAGAAGTAGAGCAAGTCTAAAGTTTTCATTAAGTATGACGTTGATGGTTTGAATTGACTGTTGCCTCCATGAAACTTGGCTGACGTAATGTTTTGTGATGAGTCACATCTTACTTTTCCTATGATGTTTTATTGTGAAACAGGCTGTTTAATTGGCTGGTACGCTTTATTTCATGTCCATAACAGCAATGAATAATGGCATGTGAATTTGCTACTTGATTTTTAAAAGCTGTTTCAAAATATTCAATCAAACAATGCATCAAAAAAAGTACCCAAATTCAGATTTGGATTGGTTGTAGCATTTGCTGGCCTAAAAAAAGTAGATGTTTTTGATACCATGTACACTTCAGTCATTAGCTCATTCAAAAATGCAATGTAATATCTCTTAACAGTGTATGGTTTGAAATAGTAAAGACTTTAGTGGCATGTTGTGTTTTATTAGCTTCAATGCGATCCAATTAAATGCATTTTTGACAAATGGACAAGCTCAAAACACTTTAAACCCTGTTTTTATGTCATTCACTTGACCATATTGGTGAAAACACTTATAATACCACTGCGCTCTAGTTTTCTCTGCACAATGGATTGAAATAGTAGACAATATTTATAATAACAAAACGTAACTCTTTAGCTAAACTGCCTTGGAAAAAAAGTATTCTTAAGGCTCATTCACACCGAATGTGTCTTTGCTTCTTAAAGCATGACACAGTTCTCAAAAATGGGTTTAAAAAAGCGAGGTCCGTGTGACACGACATTAAGAACGTGAGGTATTAATGACAGTAATGGGCCTATCACGCCACATTCACACGTGGCTTCAGTGTCAACGCTTCACTGAAGGCGTGTCTGAAGTTGGGGCTAACACGATCCTCATAGCAGCGTCAGCCAATGAAATTCAGTCAGCAATAGGCCACTGTCTAGCTGGTGTATTTGCATAAAGCGATCTGATTGGCTTGAAAAGTTGAGCTAGTCCCAACTTCTGCAGCGAGCAACGCCTCTGAAGCAGCGCCGACGGGTCCACAATGCAGTTCGGCAATGCCTGACGTCACCCATTCAAAGTGAATGGGAAGCGTTGACGCTGACGCCCCGTGTGAATGGGGCGTTAGACATAGGAAAACAATATGTTGTGATAAGCACATAAAGATAAGTCATGTATCTCAAGATATTCTGGACAAAGCCACAATGAGTACCTTCTCCACCATGATATGATAAGTAAAATATGCCAACTATAAACAGAAGCTCGCAACAATTCCCCTGCCTCCGAGCTCTTCTGATTGGTCCACTGCTTTTGGAACAAATAGTAATGAGCTTCGCTGCACATAAAAGTTGAAGATCTTTCACATCGATCACATGTGCAGGACTTTAAAAGACATGAGACGCAAACATAGTGGTCAAACACATCTGTCCAGCATGTTTACGTTAAATAACAAAAGAAAAGTTGTGCATTGGGGACGAAAAATGCATTCTGTGTGAACCGCTGCTTAAACAGTGGAGACTTCTTTGTCGTTGTTTCATTATTGGGCAACACGGTGGTTAGCACTGTCACCTCACAGCAAGAAAGTCACTGATTCAAGTCCCAGCTGGGTCAGTTGGCATTTCTGTGTGGAGTTTGCATGTTCTCCCCATGCTCGTGTGGATTTCTTCCAGGTGCTCCGGTTTCAATCACAGTCCAAAGACATGCGCTATAGGGGAATTGAATAAACTAAATTGGCCATAGTGTATGTGTATGAATGAGTGTGTATGGATGTTTCCCAGTACGGGGTTGCAGCTGGAACGGCATCCACTGTGTAAAACAAATGCTGGATAAGTTAGCGGTTCATTGCCTGAAAATGAATGTATGAATGTTTCATTATTTGTATCTAAAAAGGTCTTAATCTTCCCTCCAGGCCTCAAACCCTATTGATGTTGCAGCACGACCAGGAACAGTCCCACACACTCTCCTTCAGAAGGACCCAAGGGTAAGCTGTCCACTCTGGAGAAACACTTAAGCCGTTAGAAACGCATCAGGATTGTGATGTTTTCAGCATTTCATGAAGTTGAACTTCTGCCTTTGTCCTTTTCTCTATTTCTTTCTTAACTCCTCACAGATAACAGATCCTTTTAGGACTTCAGTAAGAGTAAGAATCATATTTCCATTCTCTTTCAAATCCCTACATTTTCCACCTTAAATGCCCGTGCCTTTGTGCTAATGCTTTGAAATTTCTTCTGTTCTCATGTCAGAAGCCAGGTAAATGGTGCGCAGTACATGTTCAAATCGCCTGGCAGATCTACCATCATCAGCAGAAGATGAAAGTAAGTTCTCTCAGAAGCCAAGAAAAGATTCTTTCTGAAATATAGTGTAGTCTTTAGTGTAAGTGAAATACAAGAATATGTAGGTGCAAAGTGGAATGTTTCATGCATTAAACATTATTGCTGGGTTCAGGCTACACAATATCAGCTTGATTTTTGGCACAGATCATCTGAATCAAAGTTGTAGTTTTTTCGTAAAAGGGGACATCTCAACAGAAAGACATGTTTAATTTTGTTGTGGACTTTTCACATACTTATTTTCTGATGCCAGTAGAAAACATTCCAATTCATTAGCCATTGTTTCTTTACACTTTTGTTTCCAGAACTCGTTTGTTATTGCCACCTTCTTAGTCATTAAAGATGGCAAGAAATGATTGGCTCTGGAAGAAACATCTTTCTTGCTCATGACATAAAAAGTACTTACGAGTCAAAATAACAATCTCACAGCAAATTTTTGTAAGAGATAAAAAAAATATTGTGTAATAAAAACCTGAAACTAATTAGTAATTTAGTAAACAAACAGAGGAATTTTCTGATATGTACATTTACATGTAATCATTTGGCAGATGCTTTTATCCAAAGGGAGGACCAAAGAAAAATATTTAATACTAAAAAAACAAAACATTTCTAATTAAATAAACATAGTAAATAGAATACAGAGTGTTAATCAGTTTATATTATATTATATTATATTATATTATATTATATTATATTATATTATAATATATTATATTATATTATATTATATTATATTATATTATATTATATTATATTATATTATATGTTTAAATTAAAGTTGCACTGAAAAAAGTCCCTTTGAATTAAATGTTATGTGTGTCCCTCAAAAGCAGATGCACTTGGACCCACATAAACTGGACATGAATGGAAAACTTGATCTGTTCAGCCGTCCTCCTGCTCCAGGTGTATTCCCTGGGTTCCCCTACCCTCATGATCTGGCCAGGCCCCTCTTCTCATCAACAGGTGTGTGGAAAGACAAACTTCTAAAACCAAACTTGTACCTTTTACTCTCTCAATACACACTGCTGATCTTGTTATACACATATCAGTTATGAAAACATGTACACTTGCCAGCCACTTTATTAGGTACACCTTCATAGTACCGGCTTTTAGAATTGTCTTAATCCTTTGTGGCATAGATTGAACAAGGTACCGATTTTGGTCCAATGTATGGCATCATGGCTGACACGATAGCATCACGCAGTTGCTGCAGATTTGTCGGCTGCACATCCATAATGCGAATCTCCCATTCCACCACATCCCAAAGGTGCTCTATTGGATTGAAATCTGGTGACTGTGGAGGCCATTTGAGTACAGTGAACTCATTGTCATGTTCAAGAAAGCAGTCTGAGATAATTAGCACTTTATGACATGGTGTGTTATCCTGCTGTAAGTAGCCATCAGAGGATGGGTACACTGTGGTCATAAAAGAATGAATATGGTCAGCAAAAATGATCGGGTAGGCTGTGGCATTCACACAGTGATCAATTGGTACTAACAAACCAAAAGTGTGCCAAACAAACATCCCCCACACCATTACAGAACCACCAACCTAAACCGTTGATACAAGACAGGATGGATCCATGCTTTCATGTTGTTGATGACAAATTCTGACCCTACTTTCCAGATATAGCAGCAGAAAGAGGCAACGTTTTCTATTGTCCAATTTTATGAGCCTGTGTGAATTGTAGCCTCGGTTTCCTGTTCTTAGCTTTTTTCTTTTTCGACCATTCTCTGCAAACCCTAGAGATGGTTTTGCGTGAAAATCCCAGTAGATCAGCAGTTAGCACCAACAAGCATGCCACATTCAAAGTCAATTAAATCACCTTTCTTCCTCATTCTGATGCCTGGTTTGACCTGCAGCAGATCGTCTTGACCATGTCTACATGCCTAAATGCAATGAGTTGCTGCAATGTGATTGGCTGATTAGTCATTTGCCTTTGACAGGTGTACCTAATAAAGTGGCCGGTCAGTGTTTATATGAAAACAACGTCATACTGACTTAAATTTTGTAGGATGAAAAAGATGACAGGTTAAGAAATAAATCTGCGGTTTCACAACCATTCCTGGAAACAATTCTCTTTTCTTCTGCCGTTATGATCACTGATCACTGATGTGACCACTTTAATTCATTCTGATTGCACAAGAGATTTTGATTTCACTTATAAACTATATTTATAATCCAGTCAAGATACTGCCTTCACAGATTATTTATATCTTATCTTGTAATTTATACTGCAATCTCTTTATTGGTACGGCTGCAATATAATAAAAATGGGTTTGTATGTCTTTTCCTCATAGTCCTTGCTCGCTAATTTGCATGTTGTTATTTTGAACGTTGTCTTGGCTCGACACCCGGGCCACGGGCATGAATATAAATGCTTTTACCTGATATAATTGACTGGTAGCTCTTTGTTGAAGGGCAACACGAGCGTGTCTGCCCTTTAGATTGTAATTATGCAGCATGGTGTCATGAAGCAGCTTGTAATTGGTTTCTTCATTAATGATACACACTAACAAATGACATATAGTTCAGGCTGAATAGACAGTTGACCCTTTCAAATGCAACCTGAACACTCAATCTAAGACATCACTGTCCTTTTTATTGTCCGGGCAACTGCTCCATCCAAACAGCTTATTAGCAGTAGTCCCGACCCAAAACTCACTCCATTGGTTGAGCCAGTCTGATTTCTAGGTCCTGTTTCCACCTGGTATTAACATGCTTTTGAAACCTTTAAATGCATGTTTTATTTCATTCTCACAACACTTCCTGTATCGATCATTTATCATTTTAAGTCGGTAAGCAGAGAGTAGGTTGTTTTTGTGGCAGTTCCAACAAATTCGACCATATAAGGGTTTACACATATATACAAACATACTCCCATACTTTAGATCAGGGGTCACCAATCTCGATCCTGGAGGGCCGGTGTCCCTGCAGGGTTTAGCTCCAACTTGCCTCAACACACCTGCCTGGATGTTTCAAGTATACCTAGTAAGAGCTTGATTAGCTTGTTCAGGTGTGTTTGATTAGGGTTGGAGCTAAAATGTGCAGGACACCGGCCCTCCAGGAACAAGTTTGGTGACCACTGCTCTAGATAAAGCCCAGGCCACACCAAGCCAGCGTCAAAGGCCTAATGGCGACAGAAAAGTCCTTATTGTCATCTTACATCTGCTGCGTCTGGTTCTGTCTGGACCCAAAAGCTGCATGTGAACACACCAAACAGACCACAGCCGACAGAAACAAAAACGTACATTCTGCGCCTACATGTACCTTTCCATAGCCACAAATGGCAGTAGTCTGTATTGTCATTCCACATAGGGAAAATGGAACTAGTGTTGCACATAAATGCTGCGTCCAAATTTGCATAATTCCATACTATATAGTACGCTAAAAACAGTATGTGACCCAAGTAGTATGTCCGAACTCTTAGAATTATATAAAGAGTATGCCAGAGGTACCCAGATGGTGAGATTCTTAAGTGCGCATCCAATGGATGCTACACTATCCCATGAGGCCACACGAGAGAATTCATGAATGTGAGTGAAGCAAAACAACTGACGTGAGTAGGTCACATGATAATGGCAAATGGCAGATGTACTGTAGTATGTCCGAATTCCATTCATATACTCACATTCGTACTATATAGAACGTTCTTTTTTAACAGCCGTGTAGTAAATTGAGATTCAACTTTTGTACCTTTCTCGAGTAATAGGCGTTTTTTTTTTTTTTTGATGCATACTGGTGCATCCTGTACAAATGTAACATTTTTTAAGTATTTCTCTCTCACCAACAAGGGATTCGCTTGTAAAAATATGTCAGAATCTGATAAACGTTTGCAAATCTTTAAAATAAGTAATGAAATTACAGCTGGCTTCTTTGTGTTCCTTCTTGACCTGTGTCATTTGCTTAGTTTTTATTCTCGCACTCTGATTCCTAGCTGTCAATCAGATCACTCTCTTTCACTGACAGCCTGATTTTACATCCTGAAAAATAAAAACTCCCTTCAACATTAGCCCGATGAGAGATGATGTGTAGAAACCACCAAACAAACTAGCCTGATCGATGCTCACTGATAACTAGGTCCACACGGAATCTGCACGCGCAGAATTCAGCAGATTTTCTGCAGATTTTCTCTGCCATTTTCAGCCACCTGTAAAAGTGGTTAAATACATTTCAGACTTGGTTTATACCTTTATCTGCCATCCTCCAGGTGCATCTTAATAGCTGCTGTAAATAGGGCCTCACAGCCAATCTGATCACCCCAAAACTTCTGCATGTACAGTAGGCCTATATAGAAGCGTCTAGTGGTTTGGTTATGATTTAAAACTTTGTCTACAATCACTTTAACTATATGATGATTTTGTCATTTTTAATAGGATCAGGACATCCAGCTGCTTCACCCTACGGACCATCTCCTCACCATGCTGGCTTCCTGCCTCCTAGCCATTTGGCAGGTAAGTGTAAGTAAAGCACCATTTTAAATAGTTCTTGTCTATGTCTGTTTGTACTTTAAGTTTAGTATCCATCTAGTTTTTATTTGAGGCACAGAATGGCACAAATATGATGTTCCTTAGTTGGTAGTTCTGCACACCTACGTGGCACTTCTTTCCACATTTCAAAGTAATTAATATTAGACAACCTAGTTTGGAAATTAAGTTGACAAATGGAAAATACTACACTTCTATCTCTTGTAAAATAAAATTCTGTTCTTGTCGAATATATCTTATTTATGTTAATTGAGTTATTAGTCAGCTCAAAAGTGTCTCCCAAGTGTCTCACATTTTAAGCTTTTCAACCTGTATTCCAGAAAATAATAATGATTAAATTTGCTTGAAAAACATTAAATGGTTTTGTCTATTTTAAACTAGTATGTTTTGTTATTTTTAATTCAAATAATTTAAAAGCTTAGAACTAGATTTAACATAATTAACGAGGACACGTTTTATTATTATTATTATCATCATTCAACAATATACATTGAAATAATAGCCCCTCTGTTTATTTTTATCTGTTTGAGGGAGAGATTTATTCAACACATTTCTAAACATAATAGTTTTAATAACTCAATTCTAATAACTGATTTATTTTATCTTCGCCATGATTACAATAAATAATATTTGACTAGTTTTTTTTTCAAGACACTTCTATTCAGCTTTAAGTGACATTTGAAGGCTTACCTAGGTTAATTAGGTAAACTAGGCAGGTTAGGGTAAGTTACAAGTTATTGTATAAAGATGGTTTGTTTTGGAGACTATCGAAAAAAAAATTAGCCTAAAGGCGCTAATACTTTTGACCTTTAAATGGTTTTTAAAAAAATAAAAACTGCTTTTATTCTTGCTGAAATATAACAAAAAATACTTTCTCCAGAAGAAAAAAAAATTATCAGACATGCTGTGAAAATTTCCTTGCACTGTTAAACATCATTTGGGAAATATTTAAAAAAGAAAAAAATATATGTATATAATTTATTATTTATTATTATGTATTATTAAATAGCTAAATATTTCCCTTCATTTTTGGGTGAGACCATTCTGGCCAAAATTTAATCTTTGTTTCCAACAAGAAAACACAATAAAACTATATTTTACTGTCAGTTCCTTTCTACTGAGCTCTGCCTCATTCAGATAGTTCCCCCACAGTTTCTATCAGATATGTTATTTGAGTTCAATGCTGAATGGTGATTTCACACAGTGAGCTTTCAAGTCAATCCAATTTGAGTTCATAAACACCTGGGGCCCGAAGGAAATGGAAAGAAAATGGGTAAAATGCTGAATTGGGTGCGGTGTTGCGAAGTGGTTAAAGCTCAGGTCTCAGGTTATCTTGTTTCTAAGTCAAGAACTTATCGCTACTGTGCCTGTGAGCAAAGCACTTAACTCCGGGTGGCTCCAAGGGGGGATTGCTCATGTAAATTAGTAAATTGTAAATGTCTGTGGATAAAAGCATTTGCTTAATGCTTGCTTGCTTAAGTACACTGTGGATTAGTCATAAACCCATTTCCAGAGTTCAGGAATGTAAATTCATGTTCCACATTGAAAACAAAGATTTTTTCGTGGGCCACATGTTGTTTGTATTGTATTTAATTTAATTAAAAATATACATAAATGCATGAATTATTTAGGCTCCTTCAGTCCCTAGCACGGTAAGTTAAGACGTAGCATATTTCCAGGGGTGAGAAGATCGAAGATTTTTAGTAGACTGACAGAAATTGCTAGAAGAAATGGGAGACACATGAGTTGTTCTAGCTTTCTTTTAATCACTTTCCACAATGGACATTTCAAAAATGTCCCTAGCAATCATACTTCAATCAGGTAGTTCTCTTTATGCCAGCACCTCTCGAAGCCTAATCCACAGCCAGTGAACACTCTCCAACAGTCTTACAGGGAGAAATAAACAACCCTTAGGGAGTTAGAATAGCAGCAGTAACAGTGACGCAAAAACAAAGCTGGCTTGTAAGAGAAAAGCCGGTTGGAATGGTCGGGCACCTCCGGCCCCGCGTCGCTAATCCCTGTTTGGCATTTTGCAGATCCATTCAGTCGCTCCAGTACCTTTGGCGGCCTCAGCAACCTTTCAAGCAGTGCCTTCGGTGGATTAGGCAACCCAGCCCTCGGTAAGCCCTGGCCCCCGGCCTCTAGCTCGACTCAGTGCAGCACAGCTTAGCTCTAGACCACAGAGAGTGCAGAGGGAATAAAAAGAAGGTGGGAACGAAAGAAAGGCACTTAGCTTTACAGCAAATGCCAAAAGAGAGTTTAGGGAAACAGGAGGAGGCAGGCACTACCACAGACAAGCTTTGCCAAATTTACACCCCAAATTAAACTCACATCCCAACTGGTTTTACATTGTTCTTGCAATCATTAGTTGTTTGCAAAGTAGGATGGAGGGCTCGCCATATCACATTTCCTCCCCCTTCTTCCTTCACTGGCTGAACGGGACGTCTTTTAGTCAAGTTGATTGGACTAAAATAGAATTTTCTCTATGGAACACTTTCCTTTTCATAGCTCTCGACCTTACTGGGTAATTGGTTTGTTTTCTGTTGAGAAGTCTTCAAAAGAAGTTTACTTGTAGAAGAAATGAGTACACCCCATTAACCTTTCAATTTATGTGTACAAAACCCAATAGAACTGGACTGTGATCTGATAAACTGATATTATGTTTCTTGATATTTCAGGGGCCAACAGTGTGTTTGGACCAAAAGAGGGTCCAGGACTGCCGGGACTCAGCAGTCCTCATCATGACACCTGGAATCGGCTGCACCGGACACCACCATCCTTCCCGACCCCTCCACAGTGGCCCAAATCTGTAGATGCAGAGAGAAGCAGCTCAGCAAACAGCCACGACAGAGAGAGGGACCGGGAGCGGGAGAAAGAAAAAGAACGGGAGAGAGAAAAAAGGGACTCTTCAGTTGGGAAAGAAGAGAAGGATAAAGACAGGTTTGTGTTGCTAGATCCATCATCTTTTTTTTTTTTTTTCAAGCATTCTAATAAACTAATAATGGGTTATTTTCTGTTGCAGAGACTCTTTAGATCGTAATAGGCATTCAAACCGCTCCTCTCCTGCTTCTGCTCCGGTTAGCTACCAGATCAGCAGCCTGATCCGCTCAAACAGCCAGAACTCAACAGACTCCGGGAGACATCGCAGTGGCAGTGCTGACCGCAACCGCGAACCTGAAAAAGAACTGTTGGATCGCCAGCGAGATGCAGTCATTTTAGGAGATGTTAAAGTGAAGGAAAGTCGTTCTCCAGGGAAAGAGATAACAGACAGACGTTCCTCAGATGACTCTCTCAAATCCATTCACAGGTCTCCCTCTCCGTACTCGAAAAACATCCTTAGCGATACAGGAATCAAGATGGGTATTCCACAACCGCTACCGATTAAAGAAAATGAGAGAGATAGGAAGGAAACCAGCTCAGGAGATCTGCTTCACAAGGTGAAGAATGACATGAAGATCAAGGAGGAACACAAGGAAGACCAGGATGTTATGGTGGTTGGATCCGAAGCTGCCCCTAAGCCTCAAATCTCTCTACCTTCTCATCAAACCACCCCGATTGTTCATCCCCATCCTGCACTATCCCATCAGCCTCCTCCACCATCTCCTCGCTGCAGTGACCCTCCGTCAATTCATGGAGTCCCCATGCCCCACTCTCTGCCGCTCACACTGAGTGCCATGCATCAAATGGGAAGTCTGAATGCACTTGAACGCACCCGCATGGCACCTTTCATGGGAGTCAGTCCTCTTGCAGCAGGTCGAGACCGCCTTCCTCACCCAGCATTCTCCTGGGATCCTCTTCGGGAAGCTTACAGAAACCTTGACCTGCAGAGGCGCATGGACTTCCAGCTTCGCTCTGAGCCTGGACATCGCTTTCCTGGTGTCTATGATCCAGAACGGCCCTATCGGGATCGAGAGCCACATGAGTACTCTCACCACGAACATCTGCTGGAAGTTCGACGAGAACAAGAAAGACTGAGGCAACAAGCTGAAGAAAGGGAACGGTTGCATTTACGAGAAGAACTTGATCGGGCCAGGCTTCACCAACTTCATCAATCACCCATCGAAGGACACTTACCCCACATGCCACCATTTATGTCACACCTCGGTGGGATGCCTTACCCAAGGCTTAGCCCTTCAACAGGACATAATGGACTTCTTAACCGAACACCACCAACAGCAGCACTAAGTGCCCCTCCACCTCTGGTACCCTCTGGTGCTGCCAGACCGGCATCTCCAAGACGGACTACGCCAATCACCACCCAGGACCCTCGGGAATACTCACCATCACGCAACCCCAAGGAAGTGGAGGCACGGTAACACACTAGGAAGGAAAATGCCTCACTTAAGTTGGACACAGGCAACATGCACTTATTTTCACACAAAGTAGAGTAAATGATATGTCATGTGTAATTTGTACAAAGATTTGTATCTTGAAACAAGCACATCAACTGGCTTTTTTAATTGATTGGATTAGGAGCAAAAAGGAGTTGGTAGCTTCAGCTCTTGCTAGCTCCAAACATAAAACAAAATACCAACCAGAAATTTGATATTAATATATTAATCTAATGCCTTTTCAGTTTTTCATGTGAAAAGACATTCAAAAATTTGTTTGTACATTTCCTATCCTTCATGTACAGACATGTTTTTTTTATGTATTTGCGTTAAGTTTCATTCGTTCCTTGCCTTGTATTTATCCTAGTGAGCTGCTGGATATGGATGTCTACAGTACATATCTGAATTGGTATGATCTCACTGTTTGACAGCTGATTTGCTCTATGGTACCTGGAAATATTCAGTGCTGACCATGTACAAAGTTACATTTTTTTTTTTTTTTTTTTTGCTTGATTTATTTTGAGATATGCAGACAAATATGTATTACAATGTTCTTGTTTGTTTTATGTAAAGTTTAAAGATATTGTAAATATCTTGTTGATATTACTTGGAGCGAAATGACATTGTACATTTGTTAGGCTTTTTAAATGTTTCTAAAAAACATTGAAATGAAACAGAACCACTTCCAGGTTGAAAACCATGGTGACGGAACTGTCCAATCAGAGGAGAAGACTCAGTTGCGGGTGTGGTCATGGTGATGCAATCTATGCAAAGAGGATTAAGAGAGTTCTGAATGGATGGTTATCAAAATGGAGTTCTAAAAGGAGAACCTGGATAACTGTTATTCATTTGTCCAATGAAGAGCCAATGAAACAAACCGCTATTAACTTCCGGGTCATAAAGGAACTGCTTTAGCAGTAAACAGTTCTCCAGCCACAAAAACCTGGACATCTGACAAACGTATTGGAATGGTTTGGGTGGCAATAGACTCTTTCTGTCGACCTTGTGGTGTTGTGCAGTTGTTTTTCTTAGACTCTTGTATACAAAACGAGTAGAGCTTTAGGCGTGAAAAAAATGAACATTCATGGTTTAAAAAATGTATGGAATAAAGGTTGGACCTTATATCTGCATACCTGTTTGCTGCTTAATTCTGGTCTACAGTATTGACTTACTGAACAGTGTAAGAATGGGTGATTCTCACCAAGAAATGTGAGCGAAAAAGAAACAAATATTGCATACATTTTTGTAACATGATGGCACATTGTTGGAAAATAATTTTTATTCTCATTACTAGAAAACAGTAACAGATATAATGCTGTCTGGACACAATGAATTATTTTTAAATAAATTCTATTATTCATTTTATTGTTAACTAATACTTGGGAGGCACATCAGATCTCGTGCTACGAGATCTCGCCACACGAGATTTGACTGGTCCCGTGAGAACGCCATAGTCTCTGGCGATAACCTCGACATTAGTACCAAATCGGTTATTTTCTTTTGACACCCAAATCACTGGCTTTGAACCAGGAAAAGTGTTTCTTAAGTAGCAGCAAAACATTGCTGGGTTAGAACTGCTTGTGTCAAGGGCTGAGGGCAGGGTTACCTTGTCCAACAAGATGAGCAGAAGCTATTTTGAGTGTCATTTTCGAGATAGCATCAGAACATAATGCTGTGCGAACATTTCCCTTATATTCCCCTTTTTATAAAATGTACAGTGCTCTGCATGAATATATTATTAATTCATATTAATGATAAATAATATTAGTGAGAAAAGGGGTTTTATTGCCCATTTCCACTGAGTGGTACGCTACGCTTTTATGGTCGTTTCCACTGTCAAAAGGTACATAAAAGCGAGCTGCACTGTACCCTTTCTAAATGATAACAAATGGCGGAGCCAGATGTGCAGCTGAACACGATTGGTTTACAGAGATGAGTCACTTGCTCATGCAAAAGACAGTAGAATAAAAACAAAGGAATCGCTATTTTTAAAGACACAGCCGAGACATTACACTGTAATAATATATACATATAAAAATGAGCCTTGGATGACCCGAGCTTAAACAAACCTTGTTGTCATCTTGATAAACAGGAACAAAGCCAAGGAGAACAGCAGAATCTACCTTGTGCCCCAAAGATGTTAACAAGGCCGTCTAATGCGTGAGCAGTTTCACTTTTTCAAGAGAGCTCTTGTGCGCGTCTATATTTGAAATAACGAACATCTTGAGCTGATAACGTGCGCATGATTATGGAAGTGCTTCTGACATTCGATCCTTTCAGAAACAGACGAAAGCAAGAGTGACAGGTAAAAAAATCACATTTTGGACTATTATAAACTCTGAATGAGAGAATTACTTTCTAATAAGAGGTTACTTGTGCTGGTAAAGATTAAAGATGCAGATGAGGAGTTTGCACTGACTATAGGCTATATGCTGTGTGTTGTTTTTCAACTCAAATAAGGACTAATCTATGCTGTGTGCAGTTTTTGTAGTATCGAGCTAACTTGTTAAACAAAGTTCGACAGCGGAACCACACCTCACTTTGTCTTCTTAACCAATCACCTACTACCTGAATAATTATTTAAGGCAGACCAGCCTTCTAGCACTTTTCTTCTCTTTCTCTCAAACCCACCCTCCCTCCCTCTATTTCCTTGCTTCCCATTAACAATCCTATAACCCTCTCTTTACTCCAAGGTTGATTAGGGGGGGTCAAACACTCTACCAAAATATTACAGAGATGGTACCCCCACTGTGAGTCTCTGGGCAACATTGTAATATGCCCGATCAACATACCTACCTGCTCACTGTTCATCCTCTTACTTCCCTTCCCCTTCATCCCACTGTTCCCTTACCATCCCTTTCATCCCTAAAGCAGGTCGCACACCAGAAGCGCTGCTCGGCGCCGCGACACGGCGCGTACATGACAGATTAAAGTATCGCACACCAGACGCGCACATTCGAATGATATTTAACATGAAACTAATCAGATGGCGCTCTGTGGCGCGGCTGAAAAATGAACTGCGTCCTGAGCCGTCGCCGGGCGCCGCCGACAGCCGCCGACTTGCGGTGCCGGTGTGTGTATCCTGATAGAAACCTATGTTTAGAATTCTAAAATACATGGCGCTGCGCGGCGCGCGGCCGAGTGGTGCTTCTGGTGTGCGACCTGCTTAAGTCTCTAAAACAGTCAAGCACACAAGTCTAGCTCAAAGTGTGGCATGGTCCATGCTGGTAGCGCATATATATATATATATATATATATATATATATATATATATATATATATATATATATATATATATATATATATATATATATATATATATATATATATATAAATGCGCTACCAGCATGGATATATTTATACAACAGTTCGGTCTGGTTCTCAAATCTGATTGGCTGATAGCCGTGCGATATTCTGCAATATCAGAACTCCTACAGCCTCTTTAACCTTTGTGTATTACTCCGCCCACCTACAGCCAGCAAAAAGCAGACACTACAGATCTAAATTTTAAAAGATGCTTGCTCAACTGTTTAACTGCCAGCTTATGATTTGAATCCGAAAGAAAGTTGTTCCTCGTACAAAAGGGTTTTTGAGACTCTCCATGTTTGATTTTGTTTTTATATACACAATTATGCCGTCAAACTGTTGTATAAACGCAATATCACAACACTCGTACTAGTGCAATATGGCTGTATATCGGCACTGGTGGGGGCACTAACGCATGCCTCCCACCAGTGCCGATATACAGCCATATCGCACTGTTACTCGTGTGATATTGCTCATATATATATATATATATATATATATATATATATATTATTGCAGACGTTACAGTAGGCTATTTTGCACATTCATTGATCTGCAGTTATAATCAAATCATGTTCATAGAAAGGTTAGTAATAAACATTTATACGCAATTATTTATGTGTATAAAGCATCTGTTTTGTGAGAAGGGCTTCTCATATGACATGTGAACGACCCAAACAGCTTTACATTGACATGTTCTCGATCAAGAATGAAAATGACAGAAACTTTCTGTCGGGTTGCGTATCAAACTTAAGCCTGATAAAGGTGACTCGGACCGACCCGTACCGTACCATACTGTACCACTCAGTGGACTCTTTAAGTTAAAGTCCCAAATCGCTTTTTACAACAACCTAAAAAGAAAGTAAATGATTAATTATTGGGAGTTGATTTGTTGTCAACCGATGGAGACAAGATAGGACATGCAAATGATATTGTCACTGCATTAACAGGCTGAACTCATTCTCCACAGCCACTATTTCCGATATTTTCACATTAGAGAATGTTTATGTCAGCTGTGCTGTACAGAGTAGGCTGAGAGCGGTGATGGGACAAGTCTGCAACACTGTATTGATTTTCTGCAAGTGCAGCTTTTGAGTGTTTGTGTTGCAGGTAACTGGTATTGACTCTGAGGCTAGTGCCGTATTGACCTGCGGTCTGGACTCATTAATGGGAGTGACGCCTGCTAATGAGGCATGGATCAAGAAGGCAAGGAAGAAGTAAACGAAAGTGAAAAAGCGGAGACCACAGGTTGTCTGTCCAGCAAATAAGATGACCTGAGCTTTACTGTCCCTCTAGTATTGACCAAGTCCCTCTATCTGTGTCCGTCTTTGTGACTTGTGATTTCATTCTCCTGCTCTCTCTGTCTTTCTTCTCCCCAACTGACAAACAATTCATCCTCATAACCATCCTTAACTGGCTCCATCTGGCATGCCACGCTCGGCCTGCCCTCGGTCCCGGCCCTCACCTCAAGTAATGGCAGCGTGCGTCAGGCAGTGTGCAGTCATTAGTGATGTTATTGAGAATCGATGGTCTCCCCGCTGCGTCTGGCAGCCTATCTGGACATGCTGCTTCAGAGAGCTCCGTCGCTGGAGAGAGAGAGAGATAGACGGACTGGGAAAGCTGCCGTGAGGTGTATTGGAAAGAGAGTTAAATCGGGATCCGTTTCAATTTGGCCATGCTGTAATTGAGAGGGTTATTCCATAGACACTGAGCATCTGTGCCTCCCTGGCCCTCTGCTGTCTCCCTCTAATCAGCTAGTTAGCACTAACCAGACCCAGACCTTACACAGAAACTACATGTCAAATCTTCACGTCTACATTTTACTACGTTTTTTTTCCTGTCTTTTCAATTTGTGTCTGTCTATCTATCTATCTATCTATCTATCTATCTATCTATCTATCTATCTATCTATCTATCTATCTGTCTGTATGTCTGTCTGTCTGTCTGTCTGTCTGTCTGTCTGTCTGTCTGTCTGTCTGTCTATTAGTCTACCTATCTATATATCTATCAATCTGTCTGTCTATCTATTTGTCCATCCGTCTTTGTCCATCTATCAGTCTGTATACCTATCAGTCTGCCTATCTATCGGTTGGTCTGTCTGTCTGTCTATCTATTAGTCTACCTACAATATCTATATATTTATCAATCTGTCTGTCTATCTATTTGTCCATCCGTCTTTGTCCATCTATCAGTCTGTATACCTATCAGTCTGCCTATCTATCGGTTGGTCTGTCTGTCTGTCTATCTATTAGTCTACCTACAATATCTATATATTTATCAATCTGTCTGTCTATCTATCTGTCCATCCATCCGTCCGTCTTAGTCCATCTATCAGTCTTTATACCTATCAGTCTGCCTATCTGTCTGTCTGTCTGTCTGTCTGTCAGTCAGTCAGTCAGTCAGTCAGTCAGTCAGTCAGTCTGTCTGTCTATCTATCTGTCTGTCTGTATATCTATCTATCTATTAGTCTACCTATCTATATATCTATCAATCTGTCTGTCTATCTATCTATCTACCTTCCTATCTATCTGTCTGTCCATCCGTCTGTCTTTGTCCATCTATCAGTCTGTATACCTATCAGTCTGCCTGTCTATCTATCTATCTATCTATCTATCTATCTATCTATCTATCTATCTATCTATCTATCTATCTATCTATCTATCTGTCTGTCTGTCTGTCTGTCTGTCTGTCTGTCTGTCTGTCTGTCTGTCTGTCTGTCTGTCTGTCTGTCTGTATATCTATCTATCTATTAGTCTACCTATCTATATATCTATCAATCTGTCTGTCTATCTATCTGCCTACCTATCTATCTGTCCGTCCATCC